CCTAATCCTCCTTGCCAAAAGCCAAACAAAGGCTCCTAATGCTGTGTCATAGAGAACATTGTGTGGTAAAATGACTTCCCCACACAGGTTTAAGAGGGGTTGACCTTGCTCAGATGAGGGAAATACATAGAAACCATCATTAAAGAATGAGTTTTGTGCAAAGAAACTTGTTAAAATAAACTCTTGAATGTGCTCTCAAGCTGCCAGGTAGTAACCACTGGTTAGTCCAAGGATACTTACCATGTTTGTAATTGCCCACTCGCCAAAGGTGAGGGCTGTGGGAACATGCAGTGAGACCCAAGACTCATGGGAAGCATGACAGAGTCAAAGTGAAGGGAGGGACCACAGGAAGGTATTGGGATACAAAAATTAGGCTTTTTAAAAGAGTTTCAGAAGGGGCACAAAGTGGAAGCGGTTCAGGTGTATCAATGCAGAGGTTTAGGTCCACGGGTGAACAGTAGGAACTAACTACTTACTTCTCCATCCTTGGAAACAGCTTTAATTAAGCCAAAACAAATACTATCCTCTCAGATGAAAACAGCGTAAACAATCTGATGATTCATCCAACTAAATCAAAATATGTTGTGCGTAATTAAACTCCTTTCAATTTTGTTTTCTAATTTTGCTTCTTTTCTATACCAAAACCTGTTTTGAGTGAAACAGAAAGTTGGATATTCTGGTCCAACAGCATTGACATGGAGCACTTCAACATTTTCAAACCAAGACTTTGTTTCCACGTTCCTTTGTTTTTTACTGTTCGGGCATTTTACAGATCTAAATTTATATTTAAATTTAACATTTAATACTTAAATAGGATTTCAGTTCTACAGGATTATAATTTTTCCTCCCCCTGATAGAAGCCTATATTAAAAACTCTTACTTTGCACCATCTGTTAGTGGGGAATAAACAACCCTTCTGGAGATGGCTTTTGCTATTCTGGTACTGTCTTGTGGCCTGCTATATCACCACAAGGTCTTAAAAAAAAACAGAAATTTCTCTTGCTCTCCAAAAGCTTTTGTGTAATCTGCCTTCCACAGGTTTTCTGTTGCCAGGAAATTGAAGTGTTTGCAGAAATAGGAAATGCAGCAGTTGGCTGTAGCAGAAAAGGCTCCTGGTCAACCCATATTGCATTGGTCAGAGCAAAAGTTTCTGATTCATACAGGGTATATTGCAGTGGAGATGTGCTAGGTTAACCTCACACAGTACAGGCTGAGCACAGCACTATGGCTACACTGCTTGGCAGGATGAGGCACACCAAAGCATATTGGGTCACAGGGACATTAATATCACTCACTGCCTCTGCATTTGATGCGGTGCAGTCTTGCCTGTCCTGCACTACCATGCATGACACCGTGTTTCAGCCTGGCTCTCAAAGGCAGTTGGATTTGCAAGGCAGGTTGGAACAGCAACGAACTCAGCTCTTTTTAACCCTTCCTGGGATGGTCCCTCACCCTAGGTCCTCTGACAGGCAATCTCACTGTGCCTGTCTTAGGCTGGGAGACTGGTAGGCACTGCCTATCCCTCTGCCTGTGTCACCTGAAAACCTTTCCTGCAAACCAACAGCCCATTGGGCCTGAGAAATTAGGCTATACAGACCAGACATTGTTCAGGTGAGCTTCAGACTAATCCACAGCATCTCTGCAACTCACCTTGCTCTCCTCACCCCCAGCCTGTGTAGGGAAGGTCTCTGCACAGCAGGAGAACATTGGAGTGCTCTTACCTTCCTTCCTGATCCATTTTAAACCACACTTACAAAAAAACACTTTCTGCCTTTTTTTTTTTTAATTTCCTTGCTATTTTATGTCTTAATCAAAGTGCTTGTGAATCCCCCACTGAGCTATCGCAGCATTTTAGGAGTTGGAAAAATTATAACAGTCTTTCCCTAGCTAACAAATAATGAAGGAACATCACTGATCTTTACTGCTAAAATGAAACCAAGAAAAACAACTGATGGGTATAAAATCTTGCATGTAATACACTTTCTTATCTTTAATGTAGGATTTGTATTTGAGTCGCAATTTGGTATACAACACATGCACGTGACTTACTTTCCAACTTTGTAATTGGGGTGCTTGAGCAAACTCCAGGTTTGCATTTGTTACCCTTGTGGGTTTTTTTTATTCTCTCATTTACTCTAATACACAAAATTACTATTCTGCACATTATTGAATACCTTGCAACACTTCTGCTTTGCTAAAATCAATGGAACACTATCACATCAAGGTTTATTATGGCTACAGCACTACTTGGTGTAAAGGTGAACACCCAAGCTTGAATGAGTTCCATCTATAATCTGCAGGGAATTTATACGACAAGGGTACAATGCTTCGAAAGAGCATGCATTCTGAAATGGAGCATGTACCTAGTTTCAGCCTTTTAAGATAACCTTAGCAAGGCAAAATCCAGTTCCCCTGGAAGTCAGAAATTTTTACTGAAGTAGTGACATTGTATTATGATGAAGGCTGTAATACTGCATTTAGTCCCCCCTCCTCAGAAAGATATTCTTCTAAAATGCGATTTATTGATCCGGTTTCAAGCATCTCAGCCAAAAATATGAACAGTAGAGGACTATTTCACAGCATTCACAGCAGGACAAGCAAAGCTCTTGACAGGAGCTGTGTAGAAATCTCAAGGAAAAACAAATGTCAGAATCTGCAGATTTCTGCAGCTTTGAGGATCTGGGGTTTCAGAGCACCTGATGCAGCATAGCTGTGCCTGAAAGCCCTGCTGAGGGGAATTAAAGCTTTGTTTTTTAAGTTACTGAGAACAGATGCAATAAGAGAGTTTCTGTACCAGGGAACTTCAGACCTCATATGTGATGAGCCACAATAGACAAACACACTAAATATGTAGGGAATTGGGCCAATATAAAATGATCACATTTAGTATGAGCCAATGTAAAATGATCATGTTTAGTATGAGTTGAAGTTGAAAGATAGTTTAATATCTCACTTGAAAACTGAGGGGAATAGCAAAGCTGAGTGCAATTTTTCTGTGTGACTACTGGGATTTCTAAAGCCTTAGTACGTTATCTGTCTTCCTTCACGCACTCCTGAACCTCCACACAAAGTTTGCATGACACCACCCAAACCCTTTTTCCCTTCACTGCCCACAGGTACAAGCAGCTGCTGGTTTGGAAGCAGTAACTTTGGCAAGGCTCTGCTGCGCTCAGCAAATGAGCTCTTCTTCTGAATGTTCAGAAAAATAATGGAAATGTCTTTGTTATGAGGGGAGAACAAGAGCTAACACAGTAGAAGAGAAAGTTTCTCTGTACCAGAGTTTCTCACAACAAATTCCCATTGATGCCCATTTCTGAACAACGGGTAGCAATGAGACGAGAAAGCAATTTGCAAACACTGGAGAAATCAAGTCCCAGCTCTTCATCTGATCAGAAGAGAAGTTTTTCAGGTCATTGTGGTCTTGCCTATTTCCATGTGGAAAAAACACAAGCTCCAGCTGCCTGAAGGGTTTGAAATTTGCTGTCAGTGGTACGATTGTTGCTTCTGATTCTTGCCTTTGGTTGCATAAACTCAATATATTAATCTGAAGTGCTGAAGGCAATGGGATTAGCTGTAGTGCATTGATAGGCACACTATTGTAAGCTTAGAGCCTGTGTATAAATCCATGGTAACTGGATTTACATACACTTGTGAGTGAAAGCTCAGGTTCTGCACTTCTCAGCAGGGCTTTGTTTTCAGCACTTTTGGGACCTAGCAGGGCTGGAGAAACATCTCAGCTTTCATTTTATTCCACAAAACCCTTCTTGTGACCATAAAAGTGAGGGCTGTATTCCTGCTGTCACCTATTCAACTGGGTTGCCTTGTCCTCAGAACATCAGGCTCCTGAAAAAAGAGCTGAGGGCACTCCCACTGCAGGGGCAGTGGACATGGTGGCCCTGTCCTACCCTGCTCCTTGCACCCTATTGGACTTGCTGGAGCCCTGATGGCAACATGGAGGGGTGTCCCAAAATTCAGTGCATCATGTGCAAGCAGCACTGCAGCAGCCATCCTTGGCTGCACTGGGACCAGGATGGAGTGATCAGTGCACAGCCTGAGGCCTGACACACCATATAGGCAGTGAGGAGGGGGAAGAAAAAGAGGAAGGGAAGAGTGGGAAGAGCTCCCATTCCACACATCACTTGAAGGTGTAACCAAATGCCCAAGTTTGCCTTCTGTACTTCCAGGGCTCAACTGGAAAATACTTGGGGAAAAAAAACACTGGTTTGAGAAACAGGGATAGTGCAACCTGAAGAGTGACCTCCTCTACCTCTTCAGGTGGAAGAATCCTCCCCTGCATAGCTTCTTCCACATCATGCATTTAAGATGAGAAAACAAGACAGACTATTATTATCCATAAGAGTGTATTTTCATGTTGAAAGAAAACTAGACGTCCGTGTTGTCCAGTTGTGCCTGGAGCAGCCAGAGCCATCATACCATCCCCACGCCTAATGCCAGGCAGGGATTATGGAGCTGTGTTGAGTCACAGCCTGCCAGAGATCACTGTTCATATCTGCTTAGTCGTCTAACCTATTCACTGGATTCCTGGTAGTACCACAAGGGTGCTGTTTACAGGAAAAACAACTCGATATACAGCTGAGAAAATGATGAGAGTCAATTTTTTCCTGATTTACAGCTGTGATGATGTTTCACCTCTTTGTAAACAAGGAGGTGAAAGAAGCTTAAGAATGTCTTGGCACAACACATGAAAGGATAAGCACAGAAACCTCATGGTGAGGTGGAAGAGCGTAATGAAGGGCACCATGTGTCAGCCACTATAAACACTATGGAGCTGCACCACTACCACACAAGCCTACCTGAAAAATACAAGCTCTACTACAAATAGGCTCTTAGCTCTCTTCTGAACTAACACCTGCTGACAGTTTTAAATTGAGGGGCTCGGGTACAGGGATAAATGTAATTGTTTGGTTGCAGGGGGCTTGTCAACAGTCTCCCCACACCTTCCCTAATGTTTTTTTTTGTCCTCCGTCACCTGTCTGCAGGATGAAGAAGTCCAAAGAAAAAGAGCCATCATGCTACTCCTCTTGCCGAGGGATGCTCCTTGTCATGACCTGAGTCCAGAGAGGGTGGCACGTATCCTGGGGTGATAACAGGATCATGGACAGTGATTTTGGCAGGAAATGTCACCCACACAGGCAAACAAGGGGCGTGTAGAAGAGCTCACGAAACAAAAATCTATAGGGTAAACATGAACCTGTCCCTGAATGCTTATGCCTCTGTCTGAAACTTCCTTTTGTACTCCCCTTTCCCTGGGGAAAAAGAGATGCCTTTTATATTAAGATATACCTCTATCTTGACAATAATTCTATATTTTGACCTGGGATTCCTGAATTGTGGTAGATTTGGTATGGTGTGCAGAAGCTATTAATTCAAATCCTACAGATGCTGACCGAACAACTGAAGATTTTCTGTGACACACAGAAACTGGGGGAGCACGTGACAACAGTGACAGCACAGGAGCACAACAAGTTTGGGGACCTCTGCAAAAGACAAAGCAGAGACTACCACACTCAAGAAAAAGGATGCTCTTAGCAGTTCAGTTCATAATTTTTCCTCTTGTTTCCCTGTGGCCACCACATGGTCCTGATTGTCACTGTGTATATATGAGTACTTTACAGTCTCCATGGCACAACTGCGAGGCAGGGAAGCCATTTGCCATAGTTTACTGATAGACAATAAAGGCTCAGTGAATCTCAAAGCTTTGACTAAGGTGGTGTGGTTTAAGCCCAGCCGGCATCTCAGCCACGCAGCCTCTCGCTCATCATTCCCCCCCTTTCCTCCTCCCTCTCCCAGAGGGATGAGGGGAGAATCAAAAGAATGTAACTCCCATGGGCTGAGATAAGAACATTCCAGTAACTAAGGTATAGCACAAACCACTACTGCTACCACCAATGATAATAATGATAAGGGACATAACAAGGGAAGAGAATACAACCGCTCACCACCCGCTGACTGATCATACCCAGCCCGACTGAGCAGTGATCTATCCCTTCTGGGTAACTGCCCCCAGTTTATATACTGGGCATCGTGTGCTGTGGTATGGAATACCTCTTTGGTCAGTTTGGGTCAGGTGTCCTGTCTCTGCTTCCTCCCGGCTTCCCCTCCTGCCTGGCAGAGCATGAGGCTCACAAACTCCTTGATCAGAGTAAACTTTACTGAGCAGCAACTAAAAACATCGGTGTTATCAGCGCTGTTCCCAGGCTGAAAGTCAAAACCACAGCACTGCACCAGCTACTAAGGAGACAAATGACTGCTACTGCTGAACCCAGGACACTAAGATCACTTGGGAAGACTGTGTTAGAGAAGAAATTAATCTACGTTCTGGCAGTCCCTTCCTGCACCTTAACCATGAGCCCATCATTCCTTAGTGGTTTGTCAGCATTTTATAAATTTCAAATACTCCCACTTTGCAATGTTTCATTCTAATGCTTTTTTAACGATGTCCTACTTTTCTTTTAGCTTGTCTAATTTTAGGGAGAAAGACAGAGAACTGATGCCAAGGAAACATATAAATCACTTTATATAATTTGTAACACTACTGAAAAATCTGTTTGGGATTTATGTCACTGCAAATGAAATATGCCATTTGCAAGCTGCATTTTATAATTTATTAAGCAAGTTGAAAATGTTCTTTAAAACAAGATTTGTCAGCTTGTCATCTAGTGGAGCAGAAGAAATAGTTTGCATATGGATCACAGAAATTGGATTTTCATGGTGCTCCATCCATTTCAAAGGGCTTTATTTTCTCTGATGGTTGACACAAGATGGTACTTCAGAAGCATTGCATGTGCTCCAGAGGACCATTTCTGCTTTTAATTCATTTGACTATCCATCCTGCATTTTCCTCAAGTTAGCTGAACACCATATATTCCAACATCTCAATCAGAAAGAACAGTTATATACACACAAGTTAAATGTTTAGGGCTGATGTGATGTCCATTTGAAAAGCTTTAAATGGAGCATTTGTAATATAACCTGCTTTGGACATCACTTGCTACAGAACAACCCCAATGGTGGAACCTGGTGGCTGGTGTGTGTGTGCCAGTCCCAGATCCAAATCCCAGTGAAGTGTTGACAAGATTCCCCTGAGGTTCACTGAGATTTGAAAGAGGACCTGAAGGAACATGTCTAGCAACCTCTGCTTTATAAAGCTTTCTTACATGAACCAAAACATTGCAAAAGTGCCTAGAGCAGGGACTATCATAAGGGCTGTACCGGCATAAACCACTAGGGATATTTTGGCATAAAACACTAGGAAAACCTCCAGTGCATGACAGCTTGAATATACTACATTCAGTTTCTAATGTAACTAAGGGCCAGACAAGGAATGTGTATATAAAAATCTGTTTCACAGCTTGCAATACTGCAGGATCTGCTTGCACGCTGACTGGCTGGAAATGTTATCAAGCCAGCATCTTCTTGAGTGTTGATTTCATGCACTAAGAGAAAAACAGAATGCAATTATAGCACCCTGTTATTTTCATTTAGGCTAGAGTGTTCATTTTGAAGAGAAGAAAGCACTGGCCCCAACTGCCTCCAAGAGGTGAGAGCACCATCAACAAGCTCAATAAAACTCTTTGCAGGCTGGGAGGCTGAAGAATTGCCACAGCTGATGTGACAGCCTTTCTCTTGGAATGCTATGGAAAATTACATAGTGACATTCCTTTGCAGGTGGCAAATGTTTAATCATACTCATGTGTCAGGGTGACTGAGAGAAAAAAAACAAAAAGCCCTAAATGAGTATTTTTCTATGAACATTCAGTGTCAAATATGGGTCACTGCATTTTCCAGAATGCCCAAAGGCGTTTTTAGATTTCCTCTGAAAATAAGAAATCACAGTGAATGTGCTTCTTAGTTTCTTACTATAATTTCTCTTGTTCTTTTAAAGACAAGAAGTCCTGTGCCTTCACCAAATGGCTACTTCTGCCTGTGATATGCATGCTCAGCTCTTGGCTGCTTCATGTGCTCATAGGGGTGAGGAGCTCAGAACAGCAGAAGGTTGAATCCAGTGGAAGTTGCGGCCACTAAGGTTCTGCAGAGGAAAGCTCTGGTGAAAGCAGTGAGAGCTGGAGCATGGAATGGTGACAGAAATGGGATAATGCCAGCATGGAGACTGTGGAAAACCAAGATTTTGCAGTGGATCCTGGGCTGGTCTGTCATCTCTCCATTTGCTCTCTGGGTGAGAGAGGAGAAAGCTCAGGGGTGCAGGAGCCAAATGCAGTGGAACTCAGGAAGGCACAGCCCTCCCCTCATGTGCCTGCCCAGCTGTACCCTGCATCTGGGGTAGACTTTCTCTCAAGCACTGAAGCATGGGAATTTTTCTCTGAAATGTGGCAATGCCATGTGGGGAATCATACAAAACCTCTGGCCTCGATTTGTCCGCCTTTTCCTGCAGAAAATGCTGAGTAAAAACATGGATGGCAAAAAAAATCCAAAGAAATCTCACAGGGAATTTGAAATGGTTGCCAGAGTGCAAAGGTGACAGAGTTATTATTGGTCAAGGGTTATTCATCCTTTTAAAGCAAATGCCTTTGTCTACAGTAAAATGAAGTAAAAAGAATTGACCTAAATTATAAATAGCAACATGAGACAGGATGTATTCTGTGAAAGGTTTGTCCTTCAAAGATACTCAAGAGGTGCTGTCCAGCATTGTACATAATGGAAACACATTCTTCTTAAAAAACTGCTAAGGTGGCATTTCAGACAGAGGAAAGACTGCAAATTATCAGTCTAAGAAAACAGCAAACAATTACAGGCTTAAGGACAGGAAAGCAGTAAAGCAATAACTGCTGTTGCTGGGTTTGTACATTTTTTTTTTCCTTGTGGATGGAAAGAAAACCAGATTCCTCCAATTCCTCCTTACAGGAACTTCACCTCTGTTGCAGGTGTCATGAGTGTCAAGTTGAAGCCATGAGCTGGAATAATTGGAGCTCCTCTTTCAAAGGGATAGGTAAACAGCATCTCTGGCTTTTGTCAGACCAATCTAGAAACACTTTTGGTTGGAGCGTGTGAGGCTGCAAATGATGAAACTGCCGCTGACTGTGACCTTTCTTCAAGGCTGTTCATTCCTTTTGTGTGAAAAAAAGGAGCTTTGTAGAAAATATGGAAAACTCTTAGCCATGATTTTTCTCCTGGGAAGGAAAAGAAGTTTTCACAAACATTGCTTGCAGGACTGACATTTGTCATCTTTGTTTTGACCTTAATACAGAATTTGTTTGGGGAAAATCAGAAGTTACTTTTGTCCAGTGTTCACAGCTCCTCAGCAATGTCTCACCTCACCCCTCTCTTTTGGCCTATTTCTCCAAACAGAGCTCAAAACCAGCTATTCAACTGTGTAAAACTGAAACAAATATTAAAAGCAGGGCATCATAGTTCTTCATCTGAGATCACAGGAAGGAAAGAGACTGTGAGGACAAGGGCCCTGCTTCCAGCTGCTCTAAGCATTTGCACTCAGTGCCTCCAAAAAAGGCATTTCTCTGGAAAAAAAAGATTCTCCAGATGACCTCTCATAAGGAGAGTGGGCACAAAGCCACCAAAGACAAAGAGGTGACATGGCTGCTGTGTGACCTGCACTTCCAAAGCATGGGCACATCCAGGCCTAGAGACCAATTATGGGCATGGGCTCAGTCCTCTGCATTGCATCCAGCAACAACAGTCTGTGCTATGGTTTAGTTAGATGAGTGCTGCACCCCAAATCTTTCTTTCTAACCTCCCAGAGCTTCCCCCATCATTGACCTACTTCTAAAGCTACTCACTAGTCCAAACATACCCGTTCAACACTTACGACTTCATTTCATGCTGACAGTCCTGTACTAGAACGTTCACACAAGTTGCATCAGCTACCTGCAGCATGGAGGCTGGGAGATGCACACGATACCAAACTTTCCCCAGGCCCTGGTGCCCCCTCAGGCTCTCCCATACCAGCTCCCAGTGAGGAACCCATCCCGCAGAAGAAAAGTAATTTTTATTTTCACAGTTCTACAGTTAGGTAGGAGGGGAGTCAGTGGGGCCAGGGAAGAACACAATAGGTGAGAAAGGAGATGTGGAAGCCAGTACTGCTGCTGAACTCTTCCTATCATGTATTTTAACATGGCTTTTGCTCCGGAAGCAATGCTGATTCTGAAGTGGTAGAGGGGATATGCTCTCTGTAT